GATGCTATGAATCTCGATGAAGAGCGTCCGGAACTCAGACGCGAAGAGTCTGAAACTCCCAAGCTGCATAACAAAACGTCCACCCAACGTCTTCACGAGCGTATTAATATGCTCAAGCAAAAGAATGAACCCCCAAAAAGCATTAGCCAGAATATCGCGTCGCAACCTACACAGAGCCAGAGTCTGCTATCCTCGCAACCTTCGCAACCTTCACAGCCAGCATACCCGCAGCTGCCTTCCGAACAGGAGAAAGACGAGGATGACGACTGGATTTCTCCCGTCCGCACTACTGTATCAGCAACGAACCCCGGGAGGCCGGTTCTGAGTAAGAGCTATTCTGCCGATACACGACCAACAATGACGAAGGAACCCGTTCTCCCCAAACCAATCTCCGTTTCCAACCCGAATCCAGATCTGTCGACAGTCGTGGAGTCAACAACTCCAGCTGGCTCCCCGACTAGTAAGAAATACATGGATGGCCCCCTCAGCGCTTCAAAGGCTAAATTCTACTCAGCTCTCCGAGCAGCGAAAGAGAAGATCATTGGCTCTAGTGCAGCAAGTGCTCAAGTCAAACTTGATGCACTTGCGGAAGGCCCAATTCGTCCGAAGCTGCAGACTCAAGGTTCCTCAGAAGACATTTTCAGCGCAAAGCGGAGCGATAAAGCTGGAGCCTCGATCTTTTCTCACCTGCGATCTCCTTCAAAAGAATCTGTTAAGACTACTAAATCTACTAAAATTACCACCATGCCAGGTAGCCCTACGAAGGATGACGGCAGAAGGACTCGCAGTTCTTCGGAACGAGAGAGACAGAAAGAGAGGGAAGTGAGAGAGAAGGAGGCGAAACAAAAGCAGCGAGCTGAGGAGAGGTTAAAGGAGATGCGTGAGAGGGAACAGTCTAAAGCCACTGCACACTATCAAAAGACAAAAGCAGCTGCGAAGACTCCGGTCTCAGTTCCACAGGCAAATGCTAGAGTCAACATAGCTACGACTGCCAAAACTCCAGTTCCTGTTTTACAACAGCCACAATCAAGATTGGGTACAACAAAGACGAATCCTACTACTAGCCAAAAAGAGCCTGAAGCATCAGCTGACGAGATGCCGCCACCTCCTCCTCCAAAGAGTCTACTTCCTACTGGTCCAGGGCATAAGCTTAGGGAGCCTAAAAGGCTCGCCAAAGCTCCGAGTAAGGACACTCTTCCAAAGGCCAAACCTCAGGTTATCAAAGTCAACCTCAATAGATTTGGACAAGCACCCCTTGCCGCGCCTAAGACGGCACCTCAAGCAGCCAAACCCGCACAACCTGCTCCAAAACCTGCGCCTACAGCTACAGCAAAACCTGGTCCCGCTCCAAAGCCCGTGCCCCCGGCTCCAAAGTCGGCTCCTCGGGTGAATCGACCTCAGCCCCCCAAGGCTGCGGAGAAGCCAAAGATGGCACCGACCCAGCCTCGTGCAGACCTCGGAACCACTCGACCGGTTTCACGAATGCAGACCGTTCAAGATGTTAATCGAATTAATGTTCCTGCGGTGAATCCGGCCAAGCCTGCTAAACGTCCTTTCCAACCAGAACAGGACGAGTCTCTTCATCGTCCAGCGAAACGCCCATCACAACAATCCAAGTCGAAGCCAGTCACACCAGCGCATGCCCAATTCGCGCAAGGAAAGATTCCGTTCGCTGAGCCCCCGCAGCAACCGCAATACCCCAACGGAGAGGATATTAAGCTTCCTGAAATCATGACCGATTCTGAAGATGAGGACTCGGAAGATGAATTCCAACAACCATCTTGGGTAGACACGCCTAACCTGCGTGACCTGTTGACCCAACAGCAGCTTGTTGATCCGGAGACAATCTTCGGCCCTATTGCACCATTGAATATGGAGCAGGTCTTCCCTAACAAGGAGCGGCAAAAAAGGTTCCGTGAGCGCACCAGCAGTGCTTATTGGACGAATGACCAAGTCACCGCTGAAGAACGGAGGAAGGAACGGGAGGCAAGGGAAAGGTTAGCTCGGGATGGAGCCTGGACTTATCATCCTTCTCCTGCTCCAGCTAAATAAATTCGGATCGTAGTGAACTTGGTACGGCATGGCGTTTCTGGTGGCAGTCTTCAGGGTTGGCGGTTCTGGTTTTGTTTATAAATGCCTGGAAGGATTTTGGTGCCTATGATTATTCGGGCCGGAGTTTCAAGGAAAGACATCAGGTCTTGGTGTTGACACGATTATAATGGCGTTTATTGGTGTTTTTTTTTTTTTTTTTTTTTTTTTTTCTCTGGGAATTATGGCTTTCGAATAGTGTGCCAATGGCATCATTGCATCATGGTAGATTTTGAATACGACGGTTTGAAATTCATTGAGCTGGCTGATATGCTGCTTGTGCTTTCCTAGCAAGACTCTAGTTCTGGGAAGGGAATTGGGAGACGTCAGGTCTGATTGATGGAACGTGTTGTGGCACTGAAATCGATCTATAGGTTGTCTTAAGCAGGATATACACGTCAGTTGCATGCTACCCGCTACTTTTATGGAGACGTAAGAGAGTCGTAATTCTCCCCGATACACGATCTTCGATTCGCATTAATAGGGTAAATATACCTACCCCCGATTTTCTGTTCGTGGGCGTTTGAGCGGAAAGATCTGTTGAAATCTGTTTATAGGGAGATTTATAATTGCTATATATAGCAGATAAGTGATCTCGTTACCGGAAAATCTTTCTATAAGAAACTTATCCGGATTTCTAGGATGCGCTCAAGAAGAGAGTTACTTCATGAGCGTATGGTTGGAGACGCTATAGGACAATGGGCTCGCCATAGAAGATAGCTTTTGGGGCGGGTGGCGCCGAATAGGATTGGGAAACAAGGTGCAATTGAGGGATCTACACAGCGTTTGTGTCTTTATGTGCTTGAGAAAGTATAGAATCGCTATACCGTTCCCATGCGCAGGAAGGGGAATCTAAACATTTTTATAGTAAAACTCTCAAAGTTTTGAATTAGCAAACCTCAAATGCTGTGAAAGCATAAGACTGCTTATTTCCTTGTAAAAGTCAGAAACCCTTATCATTCTCCACCTCAGTCAACCTCAACCTACAAACACCCGCACGTTCGGTCAGAGTCTGCCATACTTTTTCCACCGTGCTACAATTCGACTCCTCATTACACTCTGTATTCGTCGGGCTGGATGGTAGCCTGTGTTGGGATCCCTCTGACACCTCGCATTTTGCAGGACAACGACAGCAATAACCATTCTAGCATCTTCTAGTCATTCACGCGTCATCATGGCACCTGCCAAGCGCAAGCACGACGAAATGGGTGACGCGCTGACTACGATCTTCCTGGCATCCTCGAAGTGGAGGAGCTTTGACGAGGATGTAGACAGCTCTCTGTTCTTCGGACACTATCTAGATCATCACAATTGACGTTCTCAGGGGCGCATTGATCTAATCTTGGACCTTCCGGAGGATGATTTTAACGACGTCCACATCGTCCTGGAGCTAGGAGGCGTTGAGCAATGGGTATCTCAAGCCCAAGGATCTAGTGAAGTTTTTAGAGCACTAGTGACTTTTTTGAAGGATAGAATAATTTTGGTGACTTATCGTGTGTGTAGCTGGTTGAGATTTGCAACCTTGGCATTGATATATACTCCCCTTCCTGGGTCCACACGCATATCCTTTCACAACCGAATATGGAATACTGTCACATATTGATTCTTCATTCCAAGTGTGCGCAGCGACGTGGATGGAACCGCCCTGATGAGCTTGGTCGACACCGTGACGTCTTCTATCGCCATATCACTCGTCAACGACGAACAAAGGCGAAAATTGGATAGGACAAGCCGCTTCAAGAATTCATGGTTACCAATGAGATCTACAAACGTGCTGTCCTGGATCATGCTGCTATCTTCCAAAGCGACTCTCTGTTCGGAAGTCCTCTATGCTCCTCTCCACGTTTACCTCCTTTCGTTTCTTCCTGGTTGACACTGAAGAATTGCTCACCAGAGTTACTCTTGAGGAATAAGAATACGATGAGCTACTCCCATTCCAAGCCTCCGATGAGGCTAGATGGAACGTTGGTCATGAAGCCCCACTCCGGTTAGCTGCCGAGTTCAAATCGTAGGTGGATTCTGAGCCCGAATTTTAACAAGATGACATGGGAGGCAGCCGAATGGTGTGAGGTACTGGCGCAACATCAGTTATTCGTGGCATACAAGGAAGCTAAGGCCGCACTGAATGCATCAGAAGAAGCCATTAAGATGTTCGTTGTCCCGGAGATCAAGGCCATCTTGAAATGGGACAAACAGAGGAAAGAAAAGAAGAAGGATATTGCAGCGAGAGCGATGGTGATACCGCCATGGCTGCATTGAACGACTCCAACTTGGACTCACTGATTCTCACGAAGAAGCTTTGGAGGCCGATCCCGTCTCCTTCGGAAGAGAACACCAGAAACGTCATCTCCGAAATATTTTCGGTTGGTAGTTGAGTCGAGCACAATGGTGTTATCCACTTCGAAGCTCCCATTCATCCTTCCTTCGCAGACGAATTTAACGCGGCCCCTGAAGCCTATGAGTTTCTTCCCTTCGATCGACGGCGCAATCACAGATGGAAGTGCTAAGGAGAGAGCTGGCTGATCCTCCAGGACTTCGAAGAGAAGAAGTGCAATTTTTTATCGAAACCTAAAGCAGAGGATGTTGAAAGAAGGCAGGCATGGAACTGTCGAGAGGGTCAAAAAAAATGCGACGTCCAAACAAGACACTGAGTTCACTAAAGGAAACGTTACCCAAGCGACGGTGACCTGCTCCTCCACCAAAGCGTATGCCAGGGGAGAACCCAAGGCCGTGGTCACTACAATCTTGCCCTCCCAAAGCAAAGAAGAGGACTCCTGATCTGGATCTCTCATCTGAAGAGACCCCACTGAAAACACTGCGTCGAGAGCTAAGCCTGATGTCGCGACAGAAACTCGGCCATAAATAAGTCGATGGCAGAACGAATTGGAATCTTCCTGTTGAGCAGGACAAAAATGGAACCCCAATGCGACCAGGCCAATCCAGCCCCCAACTCAGAGGATCCTGAGAACACTGCAACGCCCAGCGTGCCGCCGACAACCGTGGACGAGGTTTCTAAAACAGGTGGCCAAAACGATGCCGGAAGCCAGTCACCCGATAATGAAGAGAACAAGTGCACCCGTAAAACTGGCTGTCGTCAGTGCTGCCACGACGATTTTAGAATGGAGGACCCTGACAGGCTCAGGGCATGTTGCGAGACAGATTCGGACTCAGGATATGCCTCTGATGAAGACGAGGACGATGAAAGCTTTGGTGGACGTACTTGCAGATGATAACCTAGAATCAGCGCAGCAGAACAGCGCTATTGTCTACAACCTAGCAGAGATGGTCAGAGGATACGGTTTGGTACAGGTCCCATTTTCTAGTTCATGTCTTGATAGGGGAGTTATTGTGTGTGCTTTTATATGAGCATTACGGATACTCTTGGTTTGATAGGCCAAACAAGACATCAGCTTTTACCTTGCACCTTACCACGCTTGTCCCTTGAAGCCAAAATATCCTTTTAACTGCACTCAAATTAGCCTTGCAAACCCCTCTGAAGTCAAAATATATACTCAATCGCGCCTTATATTGGTTTCACGAACCGTCCCGTAGCCATAAACCCCAGTAGACCCATATCTGAGAATGTTGCTGGAGGAGTTCTACTTGGTAATAGTATTCTCATGTGGTTCTTCCTGAGCCCAGGAGGGACGTTGGAAAATGCGCCATATATGCATAGACGCTCAAATATAGGTGTCATATAGGCCTTCAGGAACGATATCTTATCTCAAATAAAAGATCTTACAGGATGAAGGTCATGGCTCCAGGCTATTCCCAATCCGACTTTTTAGTAAGCACAGCTCTCGAAGCGTCTTCCGAGATCACAGCAAGAACATCACTTGTCTCATATTTCATCGATGGTAGTATCTGTATTCTACAAGATATTATTATTCTGCTCGTCCAAGGCTAATGATGTGAAACGCCAATCAGACCATTCATCCCAAGCCCATTCCGATGTATCCGTACCCAAGCCTTGGGGTTTTCCCAAAACACCACCCAAAACCTAGTTCAATATCATGGTATCCCGGCATGATGTATCCAGCCATTATATAACAAGTTCCGTTTTGCTAGCCTGCAGCTTTGCCCTCTTGGTATCGTACGTCCCCAAGCCAGCTCGAGGTTACCACCATATTATCATCCGATCCGTCACCGCGTTGCTTCAAGCACTTAGACCTGGCTCATGGCTGGCCTGCGGATTCCACCACGCATGTTGACATTGCCACGGCCTGACAGGATCGAGAAGACCATGGAGACGGCGAATGCGGCGCAGCCGAACCAGAGGAAGGCGGTGGAAGCTTGCGCTTCGTGACAGCGCTTTTGAGTGTCGTGCGCGCCATTAGTGATGTGGTTGGACTTGGTGTAGGCCTAGTAAAAGTATTAGGCACACAATAACCATGACTGGAGGAGGAGACCTACGTCGTTGCTGCAGCTGTGGACGCCCAGGTATGCGGCCGTCGCGACTGCTCCGCAGAACCAGAAGATGAAGTTGAGAACGTCAAGGGCGATGTTGACGAGTGGGACGCTGTATCCCTCAAGGAATGCCGTGGGGAGGAGATAGAGTAGTGATGCCATTCCGAAGACACTGAAGGATGTTAGATCGCTTTCAGTGATGCATGATAAGTGCACTCACCTGACAAACATATTGTAGTTTATTTGAGCGGAGTTGCCTGCGAACGCGCTCGCGATCATGTTCCCGACAAGAGCCATGACGATAAGGGCACAGATGAACTATAACGTTGGTGATACTGTGTTTTGAAAGTTTCAGGAGTCATAGCATACCTCCCAGGCTCGAAGGCCAATATTCAGCGCTTTGGAGACCATTTTTGATATGTTGTGGAGGTAAGATGCAGGTGGATCGTCAATAAAGATAATGCGACGCTACACTAGAGTCAGATAATCGATAGCGAAAGCTTGTTGGAGAGGAGGAGAGGAATGTAGTAGTCAAGCGGCGTGCAGGAGAAAATCTGATGGTGGTGTGTCTGCGATTAATACAATCAGCGGTAGTTTGCGGGTATGTTGCTGCGTCTTGGGAGCCTAGAAACCAATACGTCACAGCCGCGCGCTCCAAGAGCTAAAAGCCATAGCCAGTCGATCTCAAACACACGGCTCGCACGGAACATGACTTACCTTAATGCGACGCAAAATGCATGCAGGGAGTCTTTGTTTTGACGCAGGCGCAAGATGTTTTAAAGATATGGAAGGTGGTGTATTTTCTTTGAGAGCGGTTTGCCAGAGATGCGTTCAAGGTGTTTGTCCAAGAATTGGCGAGGACTGGTTGGTTGAAGGTCGTTTCTGTGGCAGTGTACGGTTGGTCGGGCGACGAATCGAGTTTTACAAGGATCTCCAATGATTGATGAACCATTTGATAATTGATACCACATCGAGACCGGGTCTCCCGGCCTTGGAATTCTCCGAGTCGCTCTGGTCATACGACCGTTGAATGCGGCCGATGCAGTCGAGAACAGATGATCGCTCGACTTGAACCTAAAACAGGGCCATCATGCAATGCGGTGAATGTTGCAAATTCCCAGGATTTGCATCACTGATACCATCCGAGGTTGATGGTCAATCGTCGCCCTTCACCAGGGTAGCCCAAGAAAGATATCCTGAATATTAGGTCTCTTGAGACTTTTTGTAAAATAAATCTCGAAATTTAGTTGTATCATCCCCACCATGTTCCTATCATCCGGTTGTTCACGCGACCTCTGCCCATCAAACTGGACTTGCATGCATCGTGTTAACGATCTATTGCATGCATCGCACGGCCTTCCTGTAATCATTGCTCATCCATGTTCTATTGAAAGGACAGTCCTGACAATATCTACTCCAAACTTCACCGAGAAAAAAAAATAACCCGAGCAGGAAGACGTGTTCTGCCCGTATTTGTGTAACGAGCCAAAAATCTTAGTCCAAGCACTTTTTTCAGAAAGCAAGAGGCCATGAATCATCAGAGCCTGGAGTGCGGTGGATAGAGGCTTGTACCCACTTGATCTCCGACTATGTAAACAGTACAACCGACCAACCACCCCGAGCCATCGAGGACGCGTTGAGGGACGGTAGATTGGTAGTCGGGCAAGCTTTTTCAAATTCAAAAGGCTGAATTCAGATTATGGAAGTTCTTCCCCTCCTTGAACATGAAGATTCGGGATGTCACTCCTTATAAGGTTCCAACGTATTTCCGGGATATGCATGAATCCTGTAGATATCTTGTCGGCCTGTGGGGCATGCTACGTGCAATGCCAATGAAACAAAATATGGAGCCCAAGATTTTGCAAAAGCTTACCAACTGCTTCTATTCTATTTTAAGGTGGTTCTATATACACCAACTGTAGGTGCTCAGGCGTCAGTTCCAGTGTCCTTCTCTGGGAGTAATGGTGTTATCTCGAGCAGGGACAATAAGTGAGCTAATCTCCAGGGCTCAACTGAGAGGGATGGTAATGGATGAAAAGTTAGTCTTTGTATTGTACATGGCCGAAAAATCTAACGTGGAGTTTCTTGAGAGGCTCAATGGTCAAACATTGCGCTCGCTGGAATCAGGGCACGGGTCCCGGCTGGTGCAAGGGCTCTGGCGGACGGACGGTTTCTGATCGGCGAACGCATTGGGGTTGAGGATGGCGTTGGACGCACGCAGGGCTTTCTCAAGTGCATTACTCTGAGCAGTTCTGTCAGCAATCTGATTTGCTTTCCTCGAGTTTTGTCTTGCAGTCTCTGCCAGGAGCGTCCAAGAGCACGTTCATAGTTGTAACCAGTCCATCTCACAAGACTGATCCATATCGAAAATGATAATGTACTGGTGCTGTTGAAGCTGGAGTGATACTTGCCTGGAAAATCTTTTGCCCTTATCCTTCGTCAAAGCGAGCTTCATAAAGCCGTCAGCAGCCTTGCGCATCATTTCGTCGCTGACCCTGTTTTCTTTCATCACTTCTGCAACCTTCCTCTGTTCTTGGTTTAGTGTCGCATCGACAGTCTTCTTGTCACGTTGCCACCCGGTTGTGTCAATGCCCTTAGCCTTTGCTTGGTCGATGATTATCTGGTGTAGAGAAGTCTAGTCCCTAATATATCCAGCAGTTGCTTATAATAGCTCAGCCTCGTGGCTGGCCTTGCCATCAATGCCGGGCACGAGGGTTGAAAGCTTGTCCAATCCTGCGCGAATGGTTTACCGGCGCTTCTTCTGATGGGCAGCTTTGTTGGCCGTCTTTTCCTCTTTCTCCTCTTCGGTCAGCGGCGGGACAGCGCTTGGGTTTCGCGATGGGGTAGGGTTCATTGTGGAGGCGTAAATTGCGGTTCGATTGCGATAGAGCAGAGGGTGAGCCGGACAGTCCTACTGCAGGCTATGGTGTTGCTGTACGTTAGCGGTAATGTCCTTTTTGACTCGAGATCATACCTAAGCTTAGTGCTGGTACTAGTTATAAGTGGAGTGTGTCTTCGGTTCGCAGTCTGTATTCTGTTCGGCGGCTATGTAGGCTCAAGAAAGGGCGCCGCTACAAGATTGGTGGCCGATGGAGCGTACTTAGAGAGACTGTCATCGCAGAGGGCCTCGGTGGAGGAACTGAGGGAAGACTCTGCAAACTGCTCTACCACAACAGCACTTCAGGAAGCGGTTGGGCAGATGTTGGAGGACCGTTCGCGGCGGTGAGCACAGTGTTGGCGCTTTTGTCTCGCTCCAATTTCGCTCCAAGTGCGTGTGCTCTAAGTAATTCTGGGGCACTCCAGAAATTTGATCCTAGACTTCGGGGATGCGGTGGGGAATTAGATTCAAGCAACAGCGGCCAAAGACAGATAAACAGAGCGTTTTCCCTTTACCGAGAAAGCACAGAAGTAGACTCGGGGCATATTGTAGGGCTATATGCTTTATGAAAGCAAAAGTTGCCCAGATGGCGGCGCGGAAGGGGAGTAATGACTTCCACATCCTATCTTCTCACCCACTACTTACCTTACAGGATAAGATATCCAGAACACGCCAAATAAAACCACGCTTTACAGGAACATGCCATTACAATCTTATATTCCAACGTATAGCCCACGTTAGCAGTCAATGAGATGCGACTTGGCACACCTTTAGTGAGTCCGAGTCCCTCGAGCAGTCTCCACCGTCCATCATAGAAGGGCTCGCTGGACCTGACCATGGTGGCGACGAACTTCGAACACTAGTGCCATACAGACAGCAAATCCATCACCACTTGGTTCGACGATGGTACTGTACCCTGGAAGCACATCAGCTAAGTAAATTTTAAGTTCATTGGAACCAGCTTTAACGTACGCACGTTTAGGATCGCCTGACTTTAGCCACAAACCGTTGGTCCTGTTCGGGAGGAGATCGCCTTGATATGCCCAAGCTCTTCAGCTCCCCCTCCAAGAGCGATACGAACCCGCGAGCATGTACATGCGAGCAGGTTATTGCTGCCGAATCATCATGTTACACATTGTATGACTGAAGAGGAAGAAAACATGTCCGCTAAGTCGACACAGTATCCTTAGGCACATCAACGGTAAAAAGCAGGGTGAGCACCTCTCGGCTCGATGGCACCCCTGAATGCTTTCTTGAAGCTCGAGCAAGAAGAGCCCGGAAGATTGGGAACCCGCCAAGCTCGAATGGCGGCACAGATGTTCGTCTGCGTAATTGTGGCCGCAAGTCCCACACACTGGATTGGATCGATGATCGAATATTGAAAAAGAATTATAAAGAAAAGAAGGCATTCATATGAAAGGTA